AGGACAGTGACACATGCACACCTGAGTTTACAGCACTGGGGTGGATGGCGGCCAGGCTCTGGTGATGCCTGGGTGCCCATCAGCAAGGGAATGGATAGAGAAAGTGTGACCTGTATGTATACTCCCTGGAATACTACTCAGCCATAAAGAATGGAAACACCTCAGGTGTGGGAAAGTGGATGGAACTGGAATCCGCCATGTTATGTGAAATTCTGCAGACTGAGAAAGTTAACATCTTACGGCTTCTTTTATACGAGAAACTTAGAAATACGTACACTAATAAAGAAATAATTTACTGAAGGAGAGAAGACAGGAAACCAGGAGGGACATCTCCTGATATGTGGGAGGGGCTGCCTAAGGCAAGGGGAGCACAAGCTGTGTCCAGCCTGGGAAACTTAGAGTGACCCTGTCTCAAAATTTTAAAAAATTTAAAAGGTTCGAGCAAAACAAAGGATGGGTAGAAGGAAATAGGGAGATGGAACTTTTGCGAATGGGAAGGGGTCCAGAGACCTAGGATGGAAGGGAAGAGAAGTGAAGAGATTTCAGATGGCAGGCACTTGTACCAGATTCCACAATGCGTGCAATCCCTGAATGTCATAAATGTGAGGTGAAAATAATAACAACTGTGGAAATGGGGACAGGTGATTAGAGACAGAGAAAGATGGGTGGGGAGGGAAGAGGAGTAAAAGAATCCAGACCTGTTGAGTCCTCTACCCTGTGATGAGTGCAGACTTCGTGTACAGCAACCGTGTTTTAATCAAAGAGAAACCCTGGAGATGCAGCTTTCTGTGAAGCGCTGGGTTCAACCCCCAGTACCACAATCAATCGATCAATCAATCAATCAAAAGATGTGGAAAGAGACAAGCAGCAGGGAGGAGGAGAGGGAGAAGCAGGGCTGAGATTAAGATGTGTTATGTTCCTGTGCCCCTTCCAAAGCGAACCCGCCATCCCGTAATACTGGCATCCTGCACTGCCCTGCTGTCCTGCACACAGAGCTCTTCCTGTGTGGGGTCTCCCACACCTTCCCACAGGGATCTGCGCGCTTCCTCTTCCTGCATGGTTCCGCGGTTCTCACTGCCCGCTGGACAGATCTGAGCCCCTTTGCCTGCCCACAGTGCTCTTTCCCCGTGGCACCTGCTGACCTCTGCGACCCAACTAGATGGACTTTCTAGTCCTGTTGGAAGCTGTATCAAGTGCCTCGTGATTCAAAATACCGACCCTGGGCTCACTCTTGCCATGTCCTCCTCCTTCTGCCCCAAATGCTGCTTTCCAAAGTCTTCTCTCACCAAGTTCGTTTCTGTGATTTCTGAGATTTCAAGGCCAAGGTCTTCTGCACTGACAGACACTTTCTGACCTCATGGTTGAGGTCACCCCGTCTTTGATTGCCTAGCTCCCCACTGCTGCACACACCTCACCCTGCCGTTCATCCTCCACCATGTTCCCCTCCAGACTGTAAGCTCCCAAGTCCCGGGGAGTCCCTGGGAACCACAATCCCATCAAAGTATGCGGGTCTCACCCTACTTCAGGGATCAGCAAAACAGGAGGATTCTTGCTGTGCAGACTAGAAATGCTTGTGGGTGCTGGAGAAACATCTGTAGGTCGCTATCCCTGCTGTCTTTATGCCCTTGTGGTCGTCTGTTGAAACATCATGTTCTACACCATAAATACATACAGGTTTGTCAATTTTTTAAAAATAATTTTTAAAAGAGTAATAAGAAAATAGCAAGTGTTTGTATAATGTGACCATGGATTTGAGTTAATTTTCACCATTCCACATAGTGCTTTGGTTGCATGCTATTTTCAAAAAGCACTCCATTCCGTGGGAAGCACCTGCAGCCTTTGTCCAATCTGAAGCGACTACAAGTAACACTTCGTTTCGGATTCCATCTCTTGTCTCCTTCTCTCCAAGTCCTCTCTCATGACAACTTTGCACTTTATGGAGCCTTATTGTGTCTCTTAAAATTGGCTCATCTGTTCTTCCTCTCTAAGATTGTCATCATTTTGTACGCTGTTTGCATTTGCATACAAACCTTGGAATTTATTTGAGTAAGCCCGGGGGATTTGAAACATTGTCATTTGACACATTGCCACATGTCTTCTTCAGAAATACCAGATTCTTCTCCATGTGCACAAACATTTTCCTACATAAATCTCCACCTTGTATTTCTGCTTGTCACAGACAACGTCCCCATGCTCGGGGTAAGGACATACAGGAATAAAGGGTGGATCTTTCTGGATAACTCTGGAAGGACACAAGAGCACAAGAAATTAATTTAATATAATTCCACTTGCTGATAGTTGATGTAATTTCTTGTGCAGTGGAGACTGTGTTTGGAGACTCCAGTGGGGAGATGGAAGGGAGGGGAGCGGAAGGGGAAGTAAAAAGAATTAAGGTACAAATTCCCTATGATGAACATGATTGTTGTGTATACATAAATTGTACCAATAAATTTAATTAAATTAAAAAAAGAATTAAGATGCAATAGATATATGTGCCAATTCCCCATGTAGAATGTATTTTGTTGCTGTCTTTTATCTGCTTGTTTGGTTATTTTTTGCACATACATCAAGAGAAACCTGGAGAGAGGTCAGATTTCCATGTGGTCGATCTTGCCGTGTCATCAGTGGTCACGTGTAGTCAGATCCTTTCCCCAAACTACTATTTCATTCCTCTCCCCAAACCCTCACCTCACCCAGTGCTCAGGCTGAAGCTGCACTCAGAGACCACATCTGGCTGGGGGGAGCAGGCCCTGGAGGCCAGGGAGCTCAGGTCCAGCTCTAGGCCGAGTCCTGCCATGGAACCATGAGAGCCCACGAGTATCCCAGCAGCTGGCAGGCTTGAGAGCTGAGAAGAGCCAGCATTTCAGTGAGGATCCCAAGTCCAGCAAAGCCTGGGGTCCCCTTGGAAGCAGTCAGGAGTGGGGGAGTACCTTCTTCCTCTGCTGGTTCCATTGGAAAATTCTTAGCAGACCTCAACTGACTGGGAGGACACTATGCACTCCTTGGTCTCCCAAGTCCAGTGGTCATTTCCTGCATCCTCACAGACACAAGCTGTGTTAAAGTGACAAACTGGACATCCCAGAGCCCAGTCAAGGTGGCACATAAAAGTAACCACCACGGAGATGCAGCACTGCTGGAGGCAGGAATGCAAAGCTGGAGAGAGAACAAGATAAGGTGACCTAGAGATGTATGCAGAGAGAATAAAGCAGGAAGGAGACATAGAAGCAGAAGAACACACAAAAATGTGCAAGATTGAGAGTAGGCGCTCTGTTCAGACACTGAGGAATAGTGAAGGATTGGGAGGTGCCATCCACCAATTCTCTGTCCGTTTCTCTTCTGTTCTCTCTCCCAGGTTTTAGCCCAAACTCTTATTCTCCATCCAGGCAGGAAACATGGTGGTCTGTAGAGACTCCATCGGAATGGCGCCCAGAAACACATTCATCATATTCGTTTTGTCCCAGGATGGAGAGCTGAGAGCTCCAGCAGCTCCCCCTTGCTTTGGAGAGGGGCATCCTGGGAGTGTTTACCATTAGAATTTCCTTTTTCTGTCTCAGCTTTGGGAACTTTGGCAAAGCCAGTTCCCTTCAGGAATCCCTGGCATTATTTCAAAGTTCAGGCTGTGGGCAGTGGTGACAGAAGAGAGAAGCAGGACAACCCGAGCTTCTCTGTCTGCTAAACTGAGGTTCTCCACCTGCTGCATGGGAGCTCTCTAACACCAAGGAGACGGCTGCTGCAACCCGAGAACAAAGCCCAGGGTTTCCCAATCTCTGAGCTCCCCCAGAACCCTGTCTTCCAGGCAAGGTGTCCCTGGAGTCCCAGCTATGTCATCCTCAGCTCCCCACCAGCTCCCCGGGGCGGCTCTGTGAGATCCCAACATCACTGCAGTTTAGCAGCCCAGGAACAAAGCCCGGTTCTTACTTGCTGCTCCAGGAAACAGTGAATGCTCAGTGCTTCTCTTTCCTGCTCCTAACATGTCTTTCTTCAGCTCACCTTCCTCCCAGACTTCCTGGGGCTCCTGCAGGTCCTTGGTAGGTGGGCTGAGGCTGTAATGAGCAAGGAGCTGATCTGGGCTACGGAGCAGGGAAAGATCTAGTCCTCCAATGCAAACCATGTCACCTCTCAGCAGTCTCTGTCTAAGTGATTCAAGAATCCACAGAGAAAAACAATAGTAATCAAGTCATCTTGATTTAAACAATCATTCTATACATATTCTGAGAAAAGAGGCAAGCCATCGGCCTAGGAAAAAAGGTGCGGCGGCACCCACAGCAGTAAATGCAAACTGACATCAAAGCAGCGTCTGCAAAACTCACAGGAGAAAGTGCTGTCTCACAGGTAGGCAAGGGTAAAGTCTTATTCAGCCATGGAGCCTCTCAGCTGCTGATTCAGGAGGGCTTTCTAGGAGGTGTGAATGCTCCAACTGGAACTGAAATAACGTCACTTGCATGTAAGGAAACTGCAGGGGAACTGTCTAGGGCCTTGTGGTCACTTTTTCCGTTTGTTGATTTGGGAAGTGTCAGAGCTCACCGACGGATCCCCGTTGGTGTAAAGACAGTTCTAGCTGCACAGAGTGGTGCACACCTGTGATCCCAGCTCTCTGGGAGGCTGAGACAGGAGGACCTCAAGTTCCAGCCCATTCTGGGCAACTCAGTGATTCAGGGAGGCCCTGTCTCAAAAATGAAAACAGCTAGAGAAGTTGCTCAGTGTGAAGGCCCTGGGTTCAGTCCCCAGTGCCGTAAAGATGGGGAAGGAGAAGGAGAGAGGACAGAGAGAGACAGAGGGTTAAGTAAATACTCTCAGCCGGTGAGTCCCAGAGGCAACTCCTAGATCCAGAACCGGCCAGGCTGCGCAGCTCTGACTGACGCCCAGTGAGGAATCCTCTGCCTGTGCGGTGCCCACTTGCATTCTACCCCGGGCCCTGCCCTTCCATGTGGGTCTAGATTTAAGGATGGATTTGGACATCACCGTGCTCTGGTTTGAGCCTCAGTCTCCCCTGCGCCCCCAGGCAGCCAGGTTGGAGTCTGCAGGAGGGGCCTCTCCTCCTTCCTGTGGAGGAACACCCAGCATCCTGGGGAGGGACGGTGACCTCCCACTTCCTGTGCGGCACTGACTCACGAGTGTGGGTCCTCACTGTGCACCCCAGCAGGAGGCCAGGTGGAGCAGCCGGGTTGGCCCGATGGCACCCAGGGACCCCGCCCTCCTCTGCCTCGGTGAGTCCCGAGGTGGGAGTGGGCTCGAGGGGGGCACAGGGACCCCACAGCCAAGGCCGCTCCTAACACCAGGGCTCTGAGGCTGCCCAGGGAACCCGGTCCCTTCGCGGAGAGCTGGGCTTTCCAGATGCTGTCCCTGACCAAGGCCAGGTGAGCGCGTAAACCCCGACTGCTGCCCAGAACTGCAGTGGCTCCCGGGTTCTCACAAAAGAGAGGAGGGGTGTTTGGGTGTTGGAAACAGAGGTGCATGCCAAGACTGGAGCTGTGCGAGAAAAAGTGTGTGTTTTATGTGTGTGTGTATTATAAGCGTGTGCTATAAGTGTGTGTGTGCGTGTGTTCACTCTGCGCGTCACGCCCCAGGGGGATCTCCCTGAGACTCACGCTGGGGCTCAGGGCGCTCATCACCGCCTCTCTTGCAGTGCTCTGCCTGGCACGCACGGTTCTGGTTCCGGGTCCTGTTCTGGCACAGGAAGGTGAGTGCAGGAGTCCCAGCCCCCTCGCCCTGTGCCGCACCTGGACAGCGGCATGGGAAGGTCTCCCAGCCCCCTCGCCCACTGCCCGCCCGCTCCTTGTCCCCGCCGTGTCCCCCGCAGCCTCCACCTCTGCTCGCTGTGAGCCGTCGGGATCTTGGGTGCGCACAGCTCTGAGGGTGAGGAAGTCAGGCCTCGCCTTTGCCCAGCGTCCTTCCCTGTGTCCTTCTGTTTGTCTGCACCTCCTTCTGCTGGGTCTACTCGCTTCACTTACGCAGAGGCCGCCTTAGTCCCACCCTGCGTATTCTACCACAGAGCCAGGGACCGAGGAGTACTAAGGAAAGGCCTAAGAAAAACTAAAATGTGCACCAAGGAGTACTAAGGTGAGCACTGAGGAGTACTAAGGTTCTCCTGTATATTCCGTCCCCCAGCTCCTGTGATGTGAGCCCCATGTCCATCCGTGTCTTCTCTTTTCTGGTATCTTCTACAGACTGTACCTCTGCCTGTTTGTGTGTTTAACTACAGCAGTTTCTCTGCCTCTTACAGCTCACTCCTTGGGGTCTATTCAGCTCAGCTCGCCCGCTTCCTTCCCCAGGCTACCGGCTGTGTCTCCTCTTCCCATGAACAATCTGCCCCCTTGGGCCCTGATCTTGGCCCACAGTGGCCTTAACTTAGTTTCTCCTTCATTCATTGCCCTTTATCAACTTCAGGCCTTATCCCACAGCCCCTCCACCCTGCTGTTCCCATTGCTAGGAAAACTCCTACACACCCTCCGTGAGCCCCACATCAGCCTAGACCCAAGCTGTGCATACAGCTTTAGCCCACAGCCCGTACATCTGCCCCTGAGTGTGTGTGTGGGAGGTAATCATTATTTTAATGGTACCAATTTATGGGTACAGTGTGAGAATCTAATTGTGCACACTTGGGCGATGATCACGTTCTGGTTGCTGAAGTCTCCATCTCCTTAAACAGTTTTCAGATATCTGATGAGCACGTGGTGACACACACATTTATCAGGTGTCCAAGATGGTTCTGTGCATGCACCTGCACACACTGATCAGCCAGGGTCACCACGTTTCCATCTCCTCACTGTGTCTAGGTGCTCAGAGCCTTCTAGCTCTTTCCACTAAGTCACCCATGAAATATGCGATGGGGCATCACAAACTCTCCTCGCCCCACTGAGCATTGAGCACAGAACGTGTCACCGCTGTCCAGCTGGGTTCCGGGCTCCTTACCCAGCCTTGCTCAGGCCTTCCTCCCGCCCCTCCCCTGGTGACCGCTGTTCCACCTGCAGATCAGCTTCTTAGCAGGCACACGTGACACACAGCACAGACAATGGCCCACACCTCTAATCCCAACGCTCTGGGGAGCGAAGGCAGGGCAACTGCAAGTTAAAGCCCAGCCTGGGCAATTTAGCAAGACCCTGTCTGAAAGCCAAATAACTGATGAAAAAGGCTGGGGATGTGGGAAGGTCCTGGACTCAACGCCACAAAAATAACCATGCTTGCTGGTGTGCTGCTTCCACGGTAAGCCTTACCTGGTCACAGTAACGGGGATTAATATTGCAATGTCCGCATCTCGCCCTTACAACCGCTTGCTAGCTCTGTTCAGCTTCGGCTTCCTGCGCCCCGGCAGCAGTGGGCTCCTTTGTCTAGCGGCCACCCCAACGTCATGGGAGTTTGGCCCCATCTCAGACCTCTGCTACCACCCAGGGGTGACAGCCCAAGTTTCCCCAGACCTTTTCCATCGCTGGAGACAGCCGTCCCTGTGGGAAGCACGTGCTGCCCACAGTGCGCCCAGAGCCCGGAGCCCCAGAGCCAGCTGCCAGACCCGGGCAGCGCGTGGGCATGCTGTGCTGAGTGGTGCTCAGGACAGGAGCGCTGGCCACTGCTTCCGGCCCTTGGTCACGCCCTTCCCCTCACAGGGCAGCAGGTGAGCCCCTGCCTCGGCCCTGCTCAAGGGATCCAGCAGGTTTTGCATGACCCTCCTGGCCAGCCTGTGTCAGGGCCAGCACCAAGGACAGGCGTCTGCCACCTGCAGGCTCAGCTGCTCCCGACTTCATTTCCCTGCCCTAGGGAACCACAGGCAGGAAGCTGCCAGCACCTCGGGGTTCCCAGGCCAACACGCCTGTCCTAGGTCCCTGTTGAGCTCTTGCAGGTCCCAGAACACCCACCTCCCGTGAGCTTTCCCTTGCTGCACTCTCTTGCCTCAAGGTACAGAGCCATGCTGAGCACTGAGCTGAGCTCAGGGTCTGGCTGAGACGCCCCGGCTTCCAGGCCTGCCTGCCCGTCTTCACCTCAAGGTCTGGATGTGGTTTCCAAAGCCTCAGCTCTCACTTTAGCACAGAGCAGAACGGGTGAGGGTGAGGGTCACCGTGGAAGCAACCGCTCACAAGCAGCCCTCTCGGGGGGTCAGGGGCAGCAGGGGTGGAAGGAGGGGACAGCCAGTGACAGCTTCTTGGGGTGCAGTGTCTCCCAGAGGAGACAAAAGCAGAACTAAACCAAGTGGTTCCTTGCACATGGACCAAAAGCACACTGAGCCGTGTGCTTTAAATGGTTAACTTTATACTACATGAAATTTACCTCAATGAAGAAACACATGAAGGAATTTAGTTCCCCAAAAAGCTATAGACAAGCTGGGCATGGTGGCACATACCTATCATTCCAGCACTTAGGAGGCTGATGCAGGAGGAGGCACAGCAGGTTTGAGGCCAGCCTTGGCTCCGTGATGAGTTCAAGGCCTGCCTGAACTATATAGTGAAACCCTGTCTCAAAAAACCAGGTAAATAAATACATAAGTAGATAAATTTTATTTTGTATGTATTTTATGTATAAAAACACCAAAAGCTGTTTTTCACGAGGAAATGATGACAGGCCTTCCACGCTGTCACTGATTTGTGGCCCCCACAGAGAAGCAAGGAAGTGGTCTGACGTGGTGGCCAGCTGAGTCTGCTCTCTTTCCCCAGAGGAACTCCCCATTCCCTCCATATCCGCGGTGCCGGGGCCCGTGGTTCCCTGGAACGCGTCCGTGAGGATCCTGTGCGGGGGGACACCAGAGGCCTTCCTGTACCAACTGTTGGTCCCCGCGAACTCCACACTCACGGTGGTGGACAAGCAACTGGGATTTCAGCAGCAGGCGGAGTTTGTCATCAGCAGGGTGGACGCCAGCACTGCCAGGCAGTATTGGTGCCGGTACCGGAGAGGGCTCCGCTGGTCCGAGCAGAGCAAGGCCCTGGGACTGGTGGTGACCGGTAAGGGACTTCGGGCTCCACCTCACCCTGGCTTCCCCTCTTGTGTCTGATAGACTTCATTCTAGACCAGTGGTGTGGATTTAGTGTTCATTTTTATAGGAACGTCTTTGTACTCCATAGTGATCCCCTTCATCACCGGGTGTTGGTGCATGTCCACAACAACCTCAATTCTTTCTATGTTTCCTTCTTCCCTTCCTCTCCCGTATCTCTTGGTCTCCTTCTTTGCAAAAGATCTCTTTCCCTGTTCTGCTGCCTATCTTTCATTTTGTTCTTTATTTTATTTATACCTTGGGTTGCTCGTATATTTCAGTCATGTCGGACTTATTTCAGTGGAACAGCTTTAGTTTTACAAAAGCTTTACAGGACCCCAGAAAGCATCCCTGTCCGGTGCCTGCAGCTCCTGTTACTGGCAGTGTGTCACTCGCTCCTCACCACGGATGAGTCCTTCTTCGCTAACATCATGCGCTACATCCCTCCCCGTGCTCCTCTCGGCCATCACAGGCCTTTTGACTTCATCGCAACAATCCTGAAGGGTCACTGGTCACAGATCCTCTAGGTTTCTCCACTCCTAGACATAGGGCACGGGTCATTGCCATAGAGATCCCTACGCCCCATCAGTGCCACAGACTATGCACATGGGCATGGCTGTGGACACTGGCTTAGGGCCCCTGGCGAACATGACAAAAGTTCAGTTACAACTCTGTATCAGTTAGGGAAAGTGTCTTAGGCTGGGTACTGTGACACATGCCTGTAATCCCAGACTCAGGAGGATGAGGCAGGAGGATCATGAGTTGGAGGCCAGACTGGGGTACATAGCAAGGCTCTACCTTGAAAAGAACGAAAGAAAAGAAATAAAGTCTTGCTGACAGCTTGCTGCCTTCTCTTCCAGGCTTGTACAGCAAACCCTTCCTCTCCATGGATCAGCACTCAGCAGTCATACCAGGAGAGAACGTCTCCTTCCACTGTCATTCAGCACACACTCCATTTGATCGATTTGCCCTGGCCAAGGAGGGAGATACCTCCTTGCCACTGCACCAGCATGAGGGGCACCAGGGCAACTTCACCCTGGGCCCTGTGAACCGCAGCTTCACAGGGAAGTACATCTGCTATGGTTGGCACAGCAGCAGCCCCCAGCTCTGGTCTGCACCCAGTGATGGCCTGGAGCTTGTTATTGCAGGTAGGTGCATCCCAGCACCCAGCAGGGCCCTGGAGCTTGTTATCGCAGGTAGGTGCATCCTAGCCCAGGTGCTCCATGAGTCCTGTTCCCAGGCTTTCCTAAGAAGCAAAGAGAAGGCAGTGAAGTATCACCCAGACTTCAAGAAAAGCGCTTCTTGTTTGCCCCACACTCATGCTCTACATCTTTGCTGGTGTCCCCCAGAGAGGATCCTTTCAAAGCATGTGAGTTTTTCTTTTTTTCCTGTACGGGGGACAGGGCTTTGACACTGAGTTACATCCCTCACCGTTTATCTATCTATCTATCTAGCTAGCTAGCTAGCTAGCTATCCAGCTATCCACCCATTTATTTATTGATTTATTTAAAGTGTCTTGCTAAATCTTTAAGTTGTCCAGGCTTGGCTCAAACATGTAGTCCTCCTGCCTCAGCCTCCCAGAGTGCTGGAATCACAGATGTGCACCACCACACATACAGTCTATTGAAAAGGCAAGGCCATCACTCAGCATCTCACCTTGGGGATCCTTGTTGAAACCACAGATGCTAGACATGACCTCACCAACTCACCTCTTTTCCACAAGCTGGAGATGCTCAGAATAACCTTCAGGTCTAGAGTCCATCGTGAGTATTTGCCTGGAAAGGACTCTGATGAGTGGAATCGTGAGCCTATGTTTATATTGCTCTGCTTAGAGGGAGAGGATGAAATGTGCTGCAGAAGGTAGAGCTGCTGGTGACTATGAAGGGAGCCCCCTGACCTCTCACACTCGCCTTTCCAGTGCTGGCCAATCAGGCCACGAGCTAAGCGTGTGGCAGCTACAGACCATAACATCGCAGTGTTAGAAGACTAAAGCAGGAGGATCACAAATCAAGGCCAGCTGGGCACCTCAGCAAGAACCTGTCTCAACATCTTAAAGAGGCATGGGGTATAGCTCAGGGTAGAACACCCTTGAGTTTGATAGCCACTAATCAATGGATAGATAGACCAACATCAACTGGTAGAATGATATTTTCAATTGATTGTGCAGGGTCAGTTGGGCATTCACCCAGAAGGAGTGGAAACGATTGAATGGGAAAATCAATTCCCAGTGGACTGGAGACCTAGTCATGAAATGGAAACTATTTCCAGGCAGACAGAGGAGGACCATGCTGACACTGTGGGATATGATTTTTTTAGCAAGATACAGTATCTACCTGCCTAAAGGAAAAGACTGGGAAATTCAACCAAATTAAAGAATCTACACCTGTCCAAAGAAACCATAAAAAAGTTAAAAATGTATTTATAGTACTTATGACAGACTAAGTAAGAAAAATGGTGAAGATAATCTCAAAAATTCCCATAAATTAAACCTATTGGCAAAAGGAGGTGACCTGCAGCCATCAGGGGGTTGTCCTAGGACCAGCCACACTAGGAGATGCTCCTTCACTTTGATTTTAGTTTATGTAGCCAGGAGCAAGGGCACATAGCTGTAATCTTAGCACTCTGTGAGGCTGAGGCAGGACGATCCTAAATTCAAAGTGAGCCTGGGCAACTGAGAGAGACCCTGTTTCAAAAATAAAAGGATTGGGGATGTAGCTCAGTGCAAAGGTCAATCCTTGTACTTGGGGTACGGTACTCTGAAAATCCATGTACTGCCCCCACACCAAATAGCAAGTCATTCCAGATTTGCAACCATTTCCTGTACTAAGCTCAGTGATGAGTTGCACATTTAGTCTGAGAAATTCCATAAGGCCCTCTTGCCTGGTCCCTCCCGTGTGGTCACCCAGCAGTGGACTCCCTTTGGGGACAGAAAGGGCAGCCAACCCCGTATGGAGCAAACTTTCTGGGTAGTTGATTTTTGCTCGCATTTCCACCTTCAGGACAAGAAAAGTTCTTCCTCCCCACCCCCTTCCTTCCTTTCTTTTTCTTTCTTTTTGAAAAACGAGGTTTATCTGGCTCGTGCCTCCTCACTGCTCCCAAAACTTCAGCTGGAAGTGCAGACAGAAGAACACGCAAACCCCCCACACAAACGTGTTTCTCGGGAGACAAGAACAACTTTGATCAGCATATTAGTGGATGCTTCCTATCGACCCCAGGAATGCAAATTGAAACTGTGGTGAGCAAGCTCTGCGTGCTCTTTGGTTTAAACCACTAAAACCCCATCTGTGGTGACAGAGAGAGCACAGTACCAGCATATGCAGCGGGGAGACTGACGCAAAGTGACAGAATCTCGGTAAAGATCGCCTGGCCCAGCCTGGAGCCATGTGCATATCCTGCAGCCCAGGGATTCTGGGGTCAGGAAACTGCAGCCCCTGGCCAGCTCTCTTTCTCTCTTTCCTTCCTTCTTTCTTTCTTTGCCTCCCTTTTCCCACCTTCCCTTCCTTCCATAACCTGTCTTTCTTCATGTCTTTCATCTGCCTGTCTATGTAGTGCTATCACATAATTCTTTCTTTTTTTTTTATTTTAAAAATGAAAGGAGGAAAACATTAACAGACAGAACCTTTTACAAAATAGCAAAAGAACAGTACAGACAATAGAGTTACAAACAAAGTGGTAGGAAATTAACAATGCTTGTTGTATTACATATTGATATCTTCAAATTGGTTTCTCATGAAAACACATAGAGACATG